TGTGTTTTTGTGTTCGCCATTTAGGCTTTCCCGAGGATGGTGCTCCTGGGTAACACTCAAACAGGCAATCAGATATATGAAACTTACTCGAACAAACATCAATCAAACGCCAAAACTGATTGTCACTATCAAACAAACGCGAAACGTAATATTTATCTTTGCCTCATTTTTAGATACGGCAAACTTCTAGCTTTAAAAAGAGTGAAATAACAGTTATAATTCTGTAAGATATATTTTTAATATAATAGTAGAACTGGGAGCTCATTATTCAGTACAAAAGCTAGTATCCTTTTCAATTGTTGACGGTCGCGGTTTTGTGTTCGTTTAGGCTTTTGGGATAATGGTGCTCCTGGCTCCTGGGTAAACCTCAAACTGGCAATGATGAAATTTGTTCGAACAAACAGCAATCAAACGCTAAAATTACTTGTTGCTGACAAACAAATGCCAAACATATTTTAAAGTCATATTATTAGTCAAAATAGAATAAAGTCGTATATTCTAATTAGGAAATAGCTGCCCAAGAGTATATTTACTATCAGATACACAATTGGGAATCTTGTTGAATGTCAAACCCAGCAGCCACTCTTTATTTTTAGACTGTCGCGGTTTTTTAACTGCACTGAGGGTAAAAGACATTGAAATGGCTGTGCTCCTGGAAAACCAACAACTTGGCAAATGTCTCGCGCCACCAGCACGAAAGCGAGACAAGTGTGTCAACTTATCAATATTCATAACGGAACATTTTATTTTTAGATCTAGCCAGGTTTAATATGAGGGTCTTTTCGTTGATAAGCGTATGCGCGAGCTTTTCGAGCTAGGTCGCTCTCTTCCAAAAGCATCTTTGGTACCATTTTCTAAATGATTTACTGACAGTACAGCAACAACAATATAAAAACGTATTAAAACCCGTAAACCCAGGCCCCTCCAACATGCCAGCAGCAGAATCGTAGGCTTACTAGATCTACGTCTGGCCCTACATGACCTTGAAACGCATCGTCTGTAGGCTAGATCTAGTGTTGTTGTTGTTCTCACTTTGTCCGATCAGCTGATTTATATCATGCAAACCAGTGACCCACTGGCATCTATACAAACCAAGTCTTTATTTCAGTTCCTCTTCATTTCTCTCTGCTCTCATTCTGACCTCTTAAGCCAGAATATTTCGTCCGATCTAGGCTTGTTCACATTCTCAATCTTAGTAATTTGGATGCTTTCCTCTTTTTACTTAATTTCAACGCTTCCACTTTGATCTGCAACTTGTTATTCTGTATTACTGTGCTGATTTTTGTTTCTATGCCTAGATCTTTACTTTTCTTGAAAAACACATTTAATAAATACCAGCACAATGAATTAGCCTAACCTATTAATAAAATATGCTCGATCTGGGCTGGAAACTGAGCGAAGAAACAAAAAAAAGGAGGTAAGATTGAAGAATAGGCCTACCGGACCAGCGGATTCGGACAACTTTTGCCTATATCTATGTCTCGACAACCTTAGGAATTCATGATTTTCCCCAGTTTTTATCCACTTTTAATCCCTCTCACACAGGTAGGCCTAGCTTAGAACCCCCCCCCCCCCCCCCCCATTCTCTCGCAATAATACGAGTGGTCCAGTATTCTTCAATTTTCCCGAAAGGAGCAATCAAAATACATGTTAAACAAATTAACTAACTTTGCACGCATCTTCTCGATCTATTTGACTCTTATTTTTATACCGCGCGAAGCGACGAAGACCAAAAGCTAGGCTATTTTTAGATCCAGACATCAGCTGAAAAATGCGTGCTTACAGCGCAGCTGCGATGACTTTTGACCCCTGCTCGATCTAGATTTCCTGGTCGAGAAAATTTTTTTCGGTCAATTTCATCGGTTAACCGAACAATTTTGCATTTAACCGATCATTACTCGACCAAGATTTTTCTCTTACTCGCACACCACTACTTAAAATCTAGACCTAGACCCTAGGTCACCCTAGGTCTAGAGGCCGATATCAGCTTGAATAAATGAAATGATCATGAAAAATTTACGGAGGTTTAAAAATGTTGTAGTCACTTTATCAAACAGTAAAAAAAGCCACTGTTTAGATCACTTGCGTTGCCTTTTGAATTTACGTTTACATTAATTCTATCACTACATATACTAAATGGTCAACTATGTAAATGAAAGAAGATTAAACTTTAAAACAATATGTAACTGATAAATTTGATATTAGTCAATATACGAGTATAACACTCTTGGAAAATTACTTTTTTTGGAAATAATAAAAGTTACTTCCCTTGTTATTCTGATATTCTTACCTCCCCTTAAGAAATCCGGAATATCGGAAATCGACAGACAAAAACTAGATTTCTAACTACATATTTAGAATTACCACATCAATATCCAAGTAGCTTGACAACTTGTGTTGTTAAAAAAGCCTTTTTTTTCCTCTTTGACCAATTTAAAGCAATGCATTAAATCTAAGATCTAGATATAGATCTAGAGAATAGAATCTAACTCTTTACCTTTGGTTTGTTTTGGTTACGAAGTTTGAAATCAAAATCAAAGTCATCTCTATTCTAACAAAAACATGCTAGATTTATATTAATGCAGTTTCTTTCAACTTTTGAATCGTACACTTTCTGATTACTTTGCTTATATTTACGTTATGATAGTTTTGTTTGGGGTTTGTTTCGCGGAGGGAGACATACGGATAGCACAACTTGTAAACTAGCGTGGCTAAAAGTAAAGGAAAACAATCCAGATTTTCCCCAATTCTCAATCTGACTTCGACGGGCATGAAAATGTTGTTTTCATGTGAGACTCTAGAATGGACCCTCTTGTCCAATTGACGGGCCCTTTGAACAATGTTAGTACGGACGTATTTCACCAGCTGATGTCAGTATGGTATAAACAATTTATTACACTCGTTGTGGTGTTAGACATGATTTATCCTACTTGTGAAATTGCAAGTTGTAATCACTCGTTGAAACTCGTGATTACAACTTGGCAATTTCACTCGTAGGATAAATCATGATCTTTCACCACAACGAGTGTAATAATTATTTATGTGTCTAATATAATCGGGAATATTCGCATATTTTCTCAAACATGTATAAAAGCTACCATGAAGTTTCTCTATGAAAAGTACAAATCTATTTTAGTGCTAGAATACATCTTCAATGTAGATCTAATACACGAACAGTATCTGTTACACTCCAGAAATTCCTTACTTTTCTTAAAACGCTAAGTTTAGGTTTTGTAAGTTGACTGAATAATAGGGATGACTTCTTTTAATTGGGTTATAAGAATAATTTCCAGCTTTCCGGGGACACTGAATCAGCACCAGACTTTTCCAGCTTTATTTTTCGTTTCTATAGCCATTTGCAATAACTGACAATGTGACTGATTTCTTTACATTCATAACTGTGTCCGCGCATATTTCCGAAACAAAAACTAAGAATGAATGTGTCATTATTTTTATTCCATACAAGAAGTTTATCTCTACCCATGTATTTACACGGTTTTGTGGGGTTTTTTAATCGCTTAGTTTCTATATTATATCTTTTTAGTTGTACGCAGGCCGCCAGAGACACAGCGTGATTCATGAACAAACGCAGAGTAACTTTCTCTTGTTTAATAGTAAAAATAAGAGCGAACGCTGATCGTCTTTAGTTAAAAAATGCAGGTGCACCTTTCTTCTCTTATTACTTCACTATTTCTACTCGCGCAGATTTAAGATTTCTCATGGTAAAAGACATGATATTCGTAGTCAGTTTAACACAGATTTTGGAGATATCTGTTGTGCTTTTTTAAATTAACAAACATTTATTCATAAGTTTGTAACTAAAATACGACAAATTGCGTACTCTACAAAAACTTGTCTAGAACATAAACTAAGTCACAGAAATTAACCATTCTAACGCAGAATAAATCTCAAGACATTGAGCTTTTAGTACATCCGCGTAATGGGTTGCTATGTGGGATGGGGAAGAAGTTATATCGTTTTAAACATAGTCAAAAATGCGAACTTCCTAACCGACACCGACAAAGCCGCTTCAGGGCTCATTAACCCCGTGACCCCGAGCCGGGGAGCTCCAGCGGGCTGCTGAGTCACGCTAACTATAGGTAACAGAATCGGGCGAAAAGTGACGCCGTGATACATACATACATACAGACACACACACACACACACACATATCATCATTATCATTGCCCTTTTTACCCTGGGTCAGGATATAGGCCACGAATAAACACTTTCCACCTTTCCCTATCCTGGACGAGTTGCTTGATGTCGTTCCATGTCATTCTCACTTTTTTGTACATCCATTTCCGAGACTCTTCTCCAGGTTCCATGTGGTCTTCCCCTTGACACACACCCACACAGTTCATAATAGTACACACGCTTATATTCTTTTAAGTAAAGTATAGAAACCGTGCGTTACATGTACATGCACGTGTTCCAAAAAAGCACTTAAAGGAAAGTACAGAAACCCAACCTACGGATACATAATATTACATATTATACCAAGAGTGCTCATTTTATGGACAGTATCCCATTACGGGACAGGATTTCGAGACGCTATAGAAAGAAGCTAAGAAATCTTACTGACAACACTCGATAGCCAAGGATAAAACCAGAAATGTAAAAATCTGTTTTATAACTCACCTTTTTAGACAGTATAATACAGTAATAATAATACGTATGTACAAGGTCTTTTCAACATTCGGTCCAACAATGGATGTAAAATTTTGAGAAAGATTTCAAGGAGAGGGAGATATCCGCACAAACATATAGCTGAACAGACAACGTAGAAAGTAGTAAGAACAGATACCACCTCATAAAATTGAGTAATCTACACTCCCATGGCCTGCAGAAGTGTTAAGCCACCAGCAATGTTGTTGTGCCCCCAAAACAGGAGATAAAATAAAACTGCTGAACTCTCGAAAGGAGCAAATAAATGCAGTTTTACACATAGCAAGAATCGTTCCCCCAATAGTCTAGACCAAAAACACATACTAACTCACCACATGGAATTGGGCTCTTAAAGGTGTCTTTGTCCGGAGGAATCTGAAAGGAAGAAGACAAAAAAAAAATACAAATAAGTCATTGCAAATTATTATGTAAGAATTTTTGAGTGACCGACATGACAAAAGGAGTAAATCCAATCTTCGTTTTACAGAATTTGTTAAATGGAAAATGAGATAGGGACACACAACTGGCACATAGTCACGACCATCCCCCACACATAGACACGACCATACCCGGCATAGACACGACCATTCCAGGCACATAGACACGACTATCCCCGACACACAGACACGACCATACCCGGCACATAGCAACGGCCATACCTGGCACATATCAACGACCATTCCTAGCACATAGCAGACACGGCCATTTTTGACACATAAAAACGACCATACCTGACATATAGACACTGCCATTCCCGGCACATAAAAACGACCGTTCCTGGCACATAGCAGATACGACCATTCTTGGCACATGGACACGACCATAATATCTGGCACACAGCAGATACGATCATAGTCGGGATATAGACAGGACCATCCCAAGTACTGAGATTTGTAAATAATCTTCATCCTATAAATCTCCATTCATTAACCACACCACAAAAGACGCATTGGTCGTCACACGTCACAAAGACACGTTTTGCTAATCTTGGCCGCTACCATGTCGTGTGACAAGGACGTGAGCGCAGGGGAACTGGTGGGTTGAAAAAGAGGGGCGGGGGTGGTGGTCTTAGTGGATCGGATAAGAACACCCTGGAGGGGGCGGAGGGGTAGGGGTGAGAAGCCTGGGGGCTGGGGAAGCCGAGACGGGAGGGAGGATAAGGAGTTATTCAACTAATTAAGTGTTTCCTTTCCTGAATCGTGCAAGTAAAGAGCCGATGTGGTGTTGTTCCAGATGCACACATGCCTAGAACAAGTCAGTGGAACTGAAATGGTAAATGTGTGTGTGTGTTTGTGTGTGTGTGTGTGTGTGTGTGTGTGTGTGTGTGTGTGTGTGTGTGTGTGTGTGTGTGTGTGTGTGCTTG